GGGGGCAATATGCTGACTCTCTGTAAACCGCTTAGAGAGGGCTGAAAGCCCTATGAAGCGGTATATAAGTCTACTGCTATTGCTATTGCTATATTCTGTATTTGCTTAAAAGCACCACCTTCGGATTTTAGTTTTGTAATTATATTATTCTGCATACATTTCAATTGTTTTAACTGCATGTTGAAAACATTTTTTTGCTGAAAGCACAATATTTTTAAGTTAATAGATTTTACAAATGAATCAATAATAGTAAAACTAAATTGTGTTCTGACACAAATGAAAAGCAAAATTAACAGTGCAGTCTTATGCATACTTAATATGGAAGCGAGTCCAATGGTTAGACTTACTCCCTCTTAAATGTCCATTGGATTGCATTTCAAAGTATTGCTATACCTTTGTTAAGAGATGCTATACTATAAGAAGCAGGCCACCTGTCTTACGTACTTAATAATACTTAATGCATTATTTGTAAATATTCAAATAATAAGAGTAAACATAAGTCAGGAAGAATATGTCATTGGTTTGCCAATTAATTGATATAAGGGCACAGATAGAAAGGATAAGTGCAATAGCTGAAGAGGTGGCTGTACTGTTGGCTGATGTGATAATAGAACGTTTCTAATCCAAACCCTTCTAACACACGTAGAATTTCATTGTGCCTCAAAGGCTAGAATAAGTTCTATAACCCTGATGGTGAACATATGGCACATGTGCCAGAGGTGGCATGCAGCAACCTCTCTGATAGCACCCGAGCCAGTTCAGCTCTGCCACAGATGTGCATGTGCCTCCTGCTGGCCAGCTGGTCTTCAGATCTCTGTCTGCGGGGGCGGGGCAGGTGTGTGTGGGCCCTCACACATGCGTGGGAGTTGGGGCGCATGCAGGGGGGGCATGCAGACATGTGAAGGGGGTGGGTACCTGCAGGGGCAATGTGCATGCATGGGGGTTGGGGCATGTGCAGGGGGGCCACACGCATGTGCAGGGGGTGGGGCACATGTGTGTGGGGCACACACACACACACACACATTGCATTTTGTGGGTTCAGGCGCACACTTTGAGCACTCAATCCAGAAAAGATTAGCCATCACTGTTCTATAAGATGCAGGCTTACCTGGTACTTTCCGGGGCTCCTCTCCATTTTGGCCTGTCCTCCACACAACAGAGGCCAACAGCGTGCGCGTAAAGAGGAAGGGATTCCTTTTCGACACAGCAGCTTTACCTGAATTATTATAAACCATATAAACTAAGTACATATTGATCCTGTATAGAGCCCACTCCCATAAAGAATCCTATTGGTGTAAAAAATTAGCTTTGTGGCAGTCTTGCTGTTTGCATTTTCATTTTCTTAGTAAATGTTCAAGACATTGTGGCTTCCATAAGTGAAGATAACGTATTCTCTATCATCCATATATTTACCTACATATCTCCCCCCGCCTCTCTCTATGCTTGCCTTTAGAATTTTATTGCTTAAATAATTTTCTTCAGCTGCTTCCCAAGATAGAATACAAAATGCCAAGCCATGTTGGTCACACAAAACATTCCAGAAGGGCAATATCTTTAGTAGGTAAATCTCAAAAGCATTTTGTAAATGTAGGCTTGATAAAGATTTGGATTCTTGTATGGATTTTAGGATCACAATATTAAACATTGTAAAGACAACCCATAAAATTAATAGAAAATTAAAAAGAATTAAAAGCAAATGCCAAGTTTCACAATCCAATTAATATATGAAGAATTCATAATGTTAAAAAGGTCTTTGGTGCCAAAAAGGATTAGCCATGTTTCATGTGAACTTGCTCATAGGCTAAGCTCACCTTTAGAAAACAATCTTGGAGTAATTTATGCCCATCTGAGATAAGATTGATGCAGGAAGAAGACTTCTCAGTTTTAGTATCTAGTTGTTAGAATGGTTTTCCTAACTTCTGTCCTTTTGGCTTCATGCAAAGATCTTTTCATTTTTTCCCCCTGGGCTTTTAACATCAGGTCTTTAATTTAATATCAGTTTATGCTGTATTGGACTTGCAAATATTAATTGTAATGGAAGCTGGAATATTAATATTTCAAGGAAACTGCAACCATTGGTTACAAAAACATGGCATCTTGAAACTCTAACTATATTGTTCTATTTGGACTCTGCTTGGGGTTGGTATGTGCAAAAGAGAGATAAGAGAAAGTTTCTGATAGGTTTCAGATATTATGCCATCTCACAGTATATTTGGTCTAGACTTTGTTCTATGAAGTTAACCATTTGCTATTTATTCAATAAATCATGGTCAAACCAACTTTCATTTAATATTAAATAGTTTTTGAAGAGCATTTGAAATTATAATAGGGTTCACTAAAGACTTTGATGAAAAGATGTGCTGAAAGAAAGAATGCTAGATACCTTCTTACCTTCCTGTAGCGCCTGGCCATGGTTTTCTCCCAGTGAGCTGTCATTTCCAGCCATTTGGTTTCACGGTGTCGGATGAGCACAACAGGGAGATTATCTTGGCTGCATATGGAGAAGAGAAAAGCAAAACTTAGGGCCCCTCTCTAAATTTCCTATAAGGCCATAATGTTCCTCACTGAACTTTCCCATGTTGAAAAAAAAATTTTTTTTTTGCAAGACATTAGTACCCTTCATGAGGACTCCTATTAAGTCCATTCCTATAGTCTGTTTTTGAATTCTGGGAGTTGAAGTCCGCAAATCATAAAAGGGGCCATAGAGGACCATAGAGGATACAGAGGCTCGCTGAGGAGAAAATGTGGTTGATTTTGCCTGTTGATTGTCCTCTGAAAATGCATCCCTTTTCCCCTTGACAAAAATCCTGTTTGAAACTGGCTATTCCTCAAGTTAAAAATATGTGATTCTTCTCTGGACAGGTGTTTGCATAAACTTGCATTCAGAACAGTTCTATGATTATCACCATACAGGCACATGTACAAACACACAAGTTTAAAACATAAATAGGTTAATATGGAGACATGGCATTTGTAGATGGCTTATTTTTCCTTTTGAGCAATTTCCATTCCTCCACCAGCAGAACAAATAGCCTAACTTAAGAGGAGAGAAACTGATAGGAGAACTGATTCATTAAGTATCCTGGTTCTCCACTACCCATCCCCTCCCGATGCCCTCTCTCTTTCTGAAGTATGATTTCCAGGATAAATGAGGGCAGTGCTGCCCAGGGGAAATCCTGTCAAAAATATGCAGGTTCCATATCAATCACTTAGTGAGTTTATTTCAGGATCTCACAGACCATAACAAAGTACAACATTATTTTAAAAGCCAATGCTGTATCTCTCTTTACTATAGCCTTCAAACCCCAAATCATATTAGCATGAAGTCAAATTATTACATTTGGTTAAATATTTTGGATTATTGAAATAATATGTGATAAAGGGGGTTGAAATTTACAGTATGTTATGATCTTAAAGAAAATTCTTATAAAATGATGTATCATTGGTACATGATGTCAGGAACTATTTAGAATGTATAAAGGGATTTCCAATGGATATTGGAAAAGTGCACAACATGAAGGGATATTTTATCATGCTTAGTGGACCTGCAAAAAAGCTAAAAAATGTTGGATTCAAATACATACAATGTTACAGAGGATTTTACAAAATTAATATTCAGTTGAAGCCAGAACTTTTCTTAAGTTTTTTCTTAAACGTGAAGGGGGAGGGGAACATGTTTGAAAAAGCAATACAATCTACATGGATATCTGAAATAGAAAACCAAGCAAAACCTGAACAAATGGAAAATATTGTAATAACAGCAAAAATTGTAATAGAACAAACTAAGAACTGAAGAATTGGCGCGCATCAGGAAAAAATGAATTTCATTGATTTTGGTCCAAACCTACACTATGTCTACTTTACATCCTCATCTTGAAAATAATTTCAATCAAATGTTTCAAAAAGGGTTAATAGTAGACTGGCCAACAAGCCAAATGTTTTTGATCATAAATGACAAAACAAATAGCCAACAGTAAATCTACAAACACAGGTCTCAAATTCATTGTGTTCCATAGAACAAAAATTCTAGAGATACAAAATGCTAACTTTTGATTGACAAAAAAGTGCTACGAAACTAAAAATAATAATTGAATAACACGATACGTATGTAAGTCTAAGTGCTATTGCTGTATGACTAAAAGGTACATTGAAACAAACATTTAGTTACTTTTGAAGAAATTTGAGTATTACCATTTGTATGCTAATAGCAGCAAATATTTATCTGGAAGTTATTTAAGAAATTATATTCAGGTAGGACACAAATGTGGACTATATTTAAATAAATTGTGTCAGGAACAGGTACTGAAAATATTGATTTCAGCTAAAAAACATGTGAATTTCATTGAAAGCTTCCCTTTTTATTTGCAGAGAAGGAGCAGTTGATTAAAGAAAGAAAGAAAAGTTCTTGCTGGAACCTCCTTCAGCTCAAAGGCAGTGATTTCTGGGGGAGGGAGGAGGATCTGGCCTGGAGCCCCTCTCTTGTTGCCACATTGTTCTGATAGGAAGTTGCACATGGAGCAGCAGAAACAGTGGTGAGGCAATTACAATGGGAGAGAGAGAGACAGAGGTTTATCCAGTATGAACCATCCAACAGAGTGGGTGTGGCCTTCAGGCTGCCTTTTAATGAGACAAGTTCTTTAATATGAAGCACATATGCGCTCAAAATGCTCTGCAACCGGAAAGGGTGAGGAGGAGGCTGTTCTTTGAGTCAGAGGGCTGTACTCCTTTTCTGCTATGACCTCAGCTTCTCAGATGAGTTCCTAGGATGCACAAAGCCCCAAGCGATTTGCTTATCTGTATCTTAGCATAGATTATTAACCCAGACATCGAGGGTAAAATGAAATTATCCCGAGTTCTTTGGCGAAATGGTACAGTAGATCATATAGATACAGTATGGAAACTGTGTCTATTTATATTATTCTTCTCTATTATAAATACAATAGAATTATACCTCTCTTTGGCTTTTCTTGCCTTCATGGGATTGATTTAAAGTCAGTGTTGACCAAGCCATCTTTTTTTTTTAGTGCTGATAGATGTTGGAATACTAGAATAGCTGCATACCAGAAGTCAGGGAAGAAGTGAGTCACTAGAGGATCCAGTGCTTGGGCCTTGGGTAGACTGAACAGTAGAAATATTTTGCTTGGAAAGAGTATTTCATTAAAAACGACCTCTGTTTTCCTCCAGAAACGAAATGTAGCATGACTCCTTCCTCAACATCTTGGTTGTTCAGCTAACAGGACAGAACCCAGTTGATGGTTGCATTTTAAATGACTTTTGAGCTTGCTGAAAAGAATTGAAGCAAGTGTGAGACATATCTGGGGTGGGGTCAACAGTATCAAAATAGTGAGCAGAACTGAATGATTAAAGCCCATCGGGACATTCCAAACCGACTCTGTTTTTTTACCCTTTTTTACATGCATGTGATGGGTGTAATGCATATTAAAATATTAAAAATACATACTGTCTGGTTTGGTACAGCAACCATACAGGACTGGTACAGACTCCAACGGATAGTTAAGACTGCAGAAAGAACCATTGCAACCAGCCTGCCTTCCATAGAAGGCCTGAATATTGCACAGGTCTAAAGGAGGGCGGAGAAAATATCTACAGAACTCTCACATCCTGGACACAAACTATTTCAATGTCTCCCCTCGGGGCATTGCATGCCAAATATCTAACCTCTGCTGAGCAACTAATTATCATAGTACCATCTAATATCTATGTATATTTACTCATGCAGTATGGCTGCAGTATTATTATCCCTATCTTCTTTACTACTGCCTCTTATTGGTATTATTACTAAGAACAATATTATTCTGCTGCTTTGCATGTTCACTGAGAAACAATGTCCTTGTGTGTCTAATCACACTTGGCCAATATCCTATCCTATCCTATCCTATCCTATCCTATCCTATCCTATCCTATCCTATCCTATTCTCTATTCTCTATTCCATTCCATTCCATTATTAAAAGGGTGTAGGGCTTTGGTCATTTTAATCCCATTTACCTGCCTTCCCATTTATGCCTATGAAGATATTACAAGAAATTAATCATGCCTGTAATGAGTTTTTTCCCCTTGGTATGTTTTGCATCAACCTGAAGCAGGAATCATTTTATACTTGGAAATCATGCCTCTTTTCTCTCCCACTCCCTCTACTTTAATCTTTTTCAGCCTGTAAGACAAGGGGAAACAATGATGACATACTGTATCTCATCTCTGGAAGGCAGGAGGCTTCAAAAATAGTTTTTTTTAAAAAAAGGACAGTAAAACAGGAGCATCAGGAATTAAAAAAATTACTGCTTATTTTCACCCCAAAGACAGAAAACTCTGCTCTCAATAGGATGATCTGGAGAAAATTCCAGTGGCTGCCAAGAAGGGTGTATGTTTGTGTGTGTGTGTGTGGGGGGGTGTCATGGCTTATATAGTCCCATCTTTATTATCCCAAAACAGGGGACATGCACAGACATTTTCTTTTTCAGGAGCTCTGAAAATAAGAATTTTGTAGTTAGGAAGGAGAAGCTTAGAGTTCTCTAAAGGGTTTCTGCATTTCATCAGAGGCTGATTTCACAATTCTTTGCAGGAAGTCTTGAAAGTTGAAATGGGTTAAAACTGATGAGAATTTCTACTGTAGTATGTCTAAAAAAAGAATTAATATAAATGTATTGAGTTCAGCCTTCCAAAGTCATGTAGACCAAAAACTCAAGAAAAAACACTCAATAGCCACCATAACCGCAACGTGTATTTTCAGGATGCACAGTCGTCATAGATACGGTGAGAGGATGTGGCTGAGCTACATTGCTAAAACAGGAAATGTTAGTTAATAGGTAGGCAAAGACATTTTCCACTCAGGCCCTCTTTGACATTACAAATAATCTTGATCTGAACTTCATTGTTAAGCGTGCTCTTATAACTCCTGCTTGCAAGACTTCTGTGACTCTACTGGCTGACTGGCCACATAGACCCTTACGTTGGAGTAGAGAGGATTGTCTTCCCCAGCTAAGGGCGTTAGGACTATACTGATTGTATAGCAATGATGACAAACACTTTGGGTTTGGTGTATCAAACACTCCGAAAATGCCTAATTTGTGCTCACATGGCACTCACATACACACACCAAAGAGAAATAATTTGAGAGGGAAAAAAAGTACACCCCATTCTTGCATGAGTATTGGAGGCTCTGTAGACGAATGTGGTCCCCTCATGCAACTTTCAGACAGCCTGTAGACCATGCAAGACCATACCCTATTCTTGTGCTGCCTCCGCATGAGGCATGAGAAAATAATATGAGAATGGGGCATAACTATTCAAAAATAGTTCCCGGGTGTTTTGGTGAAGGCTTGGGTAGCCACCCATAACTTCATAGCATGTCTCCTTTGACATGTGTGGCATAGGTTCCCCATTACTGGTGCACTTAATATCATTTAAACAGACTATGGTTTCAGTCAGAAGGGATGACAATTAAGATTTTATTTTGATTCAGCAGTTCAAATAGGAATGCAGCGCATCATTTATATATACAATTACCATTATCTAGACAGAGCGATCCAACTGCCTTGTATTACAAGGACAAAATAGACAATATCTGTAGAAGTGCAGGAGGTATACTGTACATGGTTTTCACAGGATTCTTTCTATCCACTAGGCCAATTCTAACCTACAATCAATAATGAAAAAGTGCGGGGAAAAAACACCAAACATTTACCAACTCTATATTTGACCTACTCCAATTACAACAAGCTACCATTTTTAGACCAATTGTACAACAAAGTTGCTCTTTGATGATTTATATTTTAAAGATATTTTTTTTCTCACACTGATGAGTAATCATATACATTTAAAGTTTTTGAGAATGTAGGAGCAACAGTATGACTACCTAATTTGGGCAGCAGTTCATTCATTTTTAAGATTCCCGGATATAATTTGTCCTGTCCTGATATTAAGCCAATTTTAGAGTTTTATTGCAATTTTATTTCAAGATGACAGGGAACCTTTCCACCAGTTTTTGGCAAATGCGATTTAAAAATGTCCAAGTTCTACAAGAAGGGTGATTGGATGCATGCAGCTCTTGAATCTCAGTGTATCCATCCTTGATATGCTGCCACTGAAGCCGCTATGTTTAACTTCTTATCTTGGGATTGTTCCACACCCATTGGAGTGTACAGATAAAACCCCAAGTGGCCTCAATGACTCTCAGAGAGCTAATGCCAAAAAGGCATTAAGAGTTGTTAACCTAATCATATGTATATTCTTCTCGGATAATATTGTACTGCTAACCAGAGCATACAAAACATTTGCTAGACCAATTCTCAAATACAGCTCATCTGTCTGGAACCCACACTGCATATCGGACATTAATACAACTGAGCGAGTCCAGAGATATTTCATAAGAAGAGACCTCCGCTCTTCTACTCGCAACAGAATACCTTATGCCACCAGACTTGATATTCTGTGCTCAGACAACTTAGAACTACGCCACCTTTGGTCTGACCTAAGCGTAGTACATAAAAATATCTGCTACAACATCCTACCTGTCAATGACTACTTCAGCTTCAACCACAACAATACACGAGCACACAATAGATACAAATCTAAGGTAAACCGCTACAAACTCGATTGCAGAAAATACGACTTCAGCAACAGAGTGGTCAATGTCTGGAATGCACTACCTGACTCTGTGGTTTCTTTGCCAAACCCCCAAAACTTTAACCGTAGACTGTTGGAGGTCTGTAAGGGGCATGCATAAGCGCACCAATGTGCCTATCGTCCTTGTCTTAATGTTCCTTTTTATCCATATCCATTTCATGTATTCAAAATCATGTTTATACTTACATCTGTTATCTAATACATGCTGGACAAAATAAATGAAATAAATAAATTAAATAAATAAAAAATTCAGAGTGCTAAAAACCAGATGACTGCTGAGGAATATAAATCCTTCCATTCTCCACATTCAGCCAGAATTGACAAAGCTTTTTGGATGAGAAGCAAAATGTTTTCAAGGAGAAAAACCAAGAAAGACCAGTTGCCTTTAGAAAAGCAGATTTGGGACAAACATGATCTGGATGACTGAGAATCTCCACAAACATTTATAGCTGGGTCCATTCCATTCCACAACTGAACCTGAAGGGTTAATTGCTGAATGGAATATTACTGATTTCAAATAGACCAAGGGTCTATTAATTAATTCCATACTGTAACCTTAGTTTTCCTGAAATAGTAACAATTTTAGATTCACCAGAAATAGAAGAATTAATTGTAGTTCACTTTGAAATAAAATTGTTTAAAGTGATGCAGGTTCAAAAGATAAAATATAACTGTCATTTAATGAAATGAAATATAATGAAATATGATGCAGCACAGAGACATTGTAACCACACTGCTCTGTAACCAGTATGTAAAGTTGTCTCTGATTCAAACTCAACTCCTAGTGATTTCCCATGCAGTGTTCTTGACATTGATATAGAAGTTTGCCATTGTCTTATTCTGGGATAGTTCTATGACTTCTCTGTCTACCCTGCTATCCTGGTATTGCTTGTTGTCTCCCAAGTACTAATCAGGATCAAGCCTGTATAGATAGATATTCACAAGTAAAATGCCTGGTAATTATCAGCATTCATGTGTAAAGGAAATGAATTCTAAAACACAGTGTACAATCAATTGCACATGTGCCACATATGCGCTACAGACAGTAATCTAGGTGGGACATAGAGTTAGTCATTGAAATGTTAAGTCCTTTAATCTTACTGTAACAATAGAATGCCTGCTGATATATACTGTAAATGCACTAGGTGGGCAAAGTCAGCATTTTGTTTCTTTCATGGTAACATCAAAGTTCTTGAATAAAATGATTGGCAAAATGTGGGAAACAAAACGTTAAGAATTATTGTCCTCCAAAATGAGTTGATAACTAGGTTATCTGCATACTACACAGGTAGTCCTCAACATATGACCACAATTGAACCCAAAATTTCTGCTGTTAAGTGAGACATTTGTTAAGTGAATTTTGCACTTTTATGACTTTTTTGCCACAGTTGTTAAGTGAATCATTGTACTTGATAAATTAGTAACATAGTTGTTAAGTGAATCTGGCTTCCCCATTGATTTTGCTTGTCAGCAAAAAGTGATCATGTGACTTTGGGACACAGCAACAGTGATAAGTATGAGCCACTTGCCAAGCATCTGAATTTTGAGCACATGATCATGGAGATGCCTCAAAGTCGTAAGGGTGAAAAATGGCCATAAGTCACTTTTTCAGTGCTGTTGTAATTTGAATGGTCACCAAATGTTGTATTGTCTATATTGTCTGTTTTCCTTGGGAGGAAAATTAGTTCCTATCATCCTCATCCAGCAAGTTGCATCTGAGTTACAAACAGGTCTCATGTGCTCCACTGATAAGAATGCAGGTAAACACCTTTATCTTATGTGTCTGGATCTCTCTGACTTGACTAAATGCCTCTTTTGATGTGTATGAATTCAATTCATCAAGTCTCAAGTCTTTTTACATCAGCCTGCTCCAACCCGATACCCTCCAAACACATGAGGATTAAAGTTCACAGAACACCCATCTAGTATGACCGTAGTATGACTATGAAGCTAGCAAAAGGGAATAGATTTAGTTTCACAAACTTGAAACTGGGATTGTAACCCCTGTTGGAAGGAATGCCCATCTGGGTTCAGTTCCAAGTGGGAAGAAAGAGACCGGAAACATGGAGACCAGAGGTGGTATTCAGCCAGTTCTGACAGGTTCTGGAGAACCAGTAGCGGAAATTTTGGGTAGTTCTGAGAACCGGCAAATAGGCTCGCTGCCTCCCAACTGATTTCCTTTTGTTGCCCTGAACAGGAGAATGGAGCTGGAAAGCAGGTTAGTGGGATAGGGAGGGAATGGGGATTTTGCAGTAACCTTTCCCCAGGAGTGGGGAGGGAATGGGGATTTTGCCGTATCCTTCCCCTGCCACGCCCACAAAGCCACGCCCACAGAACCCGTAGTAAAAAAAATTGAATCCCACCACTAATGGAGACTGCTTGGAAACATGGTTTAATGGTGGACAGGACCACATGGTTTGAAATCCTGGGCAAAAAAAGCACCTGCAGTGGAGTGAGGGATATATTTATACACTCTCTTAGGCCCTGCCTTAAAGTTTCCTGTACCTGTACAAAAAAATGTATCCCATTGGCTGTCAGACTCCCAGACGGCGGTGACTTTGTAGGCTGTCTGTGTCCCAGGCTTGCTTGAGCCTTGCTGGGTGATGTAATCTTCCCAGGTACCATGGGTAGAGGGCTAATCCTGAGGGTCATGTCTTAATTCCATCACCCTGAAGGGGAGGGGTAGGGAGCTGCAGGGAGCTGCTTTGTCTTTAAAACATGTTTCTCCTTTTCTCATCCAGGGAAATATAGAATTCTGCCTTTTTAATATTTCATTTTCCTAGGAGAGGGTTGAGTGCTAACTTCCTACACCCCTTTGCCCTCTGCAAAAATAATGCCAAATAACCACAATTTTGTGACACTTTTCCATTCTGTCCAGCTTTTCCTAATTGAAGACTTGAATTTAAGTCTAAAATATCTGGCTTCTTCTTGGCAAACATTATCCTAATCTATAGGCCTTTTCACCTTATAATAATTATCTCCTTTAATACTAGCTAAATTAAATACAAAAAATAGCAAAACAATTTTCACGTCTAATTTTAAATTGTTATTTTATTTGGGGCAGCCTCCTAAGACATTACCAGAAAATTACAGAGAGAATCTGATGTCACAATAGATTTTGTGAAAGAAATTTAGATAGTCATTTTAGAAGAATGGGCCAGGGGGCACTAATTCAACACATCTTGCTTCCTCTAAAAGAGAAGTTGAAAAAAAAGGTCTTTCCTGGAATATATTAATCTATAATTACCTAACAACAGGGTAGAACAGGGTTGGATAATTATTTATATACTTCTCTTCTGCCTTTGAAACTTGCCACATCTGAAGTAAATAATACATCTTGGAAAATTACCTCAAACCAAGACATATTTATTGCCTTTCAGTTTTTCATCCCCATCTGTTAGTACTTCTCGTTACAAAGTTCTTCAGAAATAATAGTTTATTTCTAATGATTAGAAATAATATTTTCAGGATATATAGATGTAGCCACTCAGGTGAAAAGAGAACAATCCGATACGTATGAAAATTACTTCTGCAAAGTGAAGCAGTCGGAAATAGAAAGAATTCAGAAAGGAGTAGCTGAGAATATGAAATTTTTCTACTAGCTTGAAAAGAGATTTAATTTACTTGTCTACAGCAAACTTAATGCCATTTTCCCTTTGAGCGCCAATCCTCTGTCCAGCAAAGGTCTACTCCCTCATTCCACACCCTTCCAGCAACCTGTAGAGCAGAAGTTGCCTCTTACCCATTTTGGAGGCTACTTCCTCCAATAAAGCCATAGCGATCCGTCTTGCGATAGGGAGCCATGCCATTCAGCTCAGAGTCGGAGCCCAGAGAACTGGCATCATCACGCAAGCAGAAATCAAAGGCATCTGGTAGTTCCTCCATAGCTTGGCTTATATTACCAGCTGACAGAGAAGGGTCTGACATTCTTCCCTACCATTCAAATCCTTTGCATCAACGGAAACCATCAATTTTGTGATTTATCTCATGTTGACTGCATGCCCCTGGCTCAGCAACTTCTGGAGAGAAGACTGCCTCTACGAACGTACCCCTACCGTTATGACTAGAGTTCCTCACAGGTTCTGCAAGCTATTTCCTCCCAAAACCATTTCCTGATGTAATACATAGAACTATGAAATGAGCAAGGGTTAGGAGAGGGTGGAGCAAGAAAAAATGGAAGGGCACAGAGGAAGGGCACAGAGGAAGGGAAGGGAGGCACTCAATAGATCCCTTGCAAAGTAAAAAAAAAAAAAGGTGCAAATACAGCCCCAAGAGATGCCCCTTCCCTTCTCTCTGTCTCTCCCCTATAGGCAGAGCAAAACTATGGTGCTGGGCCAGGAGTTACCATACCTTCATTACAATACTTACTAATGAAGGTAACATTGCAGGATCCAATCAGTCACCCAGTCACCAGACCAGAGACTTTGTCTTCCAAATTTTTGGAGTTGTGCTAAAGCTGGTCCTCAGGGAACTTCAGGCTAGAGAGAAGTGCCCTGAAGATGGGCTCCAGCATGAGTCCAAAAGCTCGGAAGACAAAACCTCTGGTCCAGGTGACCAACCGAGATTAGATCCTGCAACAATACTTACTACTGCAGGCATTTTTATTATCCCTTCTGTACTTCTGAATAATTTTTTTTTAAAATCTAGAGCAGGGGTGTTAAACTTGCGGCCCATGAGCCAAATGTTTCACACGCTGGCCATGCAAAAGCCGTAATACGTCATGTGACGACAACATGACATCACGAGTTTGACATCTCTCATCTAGAGTCTGCCTTCTGTCCATAAATCCTAAGAGTAGACACAATTTTCTCCAGGGCATTTTATCCCTACAGAGAAAGAATTTATTGGTTCAAAATTATGCAGTGACTTCATTAAGTGGTTATTTGAGCTGGACCTTCCTTCCTCCTAGGATGACATTAGGACATAACAACATGTTGTCCCTATGGCATAATTTAGGCAGAGATAAAATGCTACCAGTATGACAGATCTATTATAATAGTCATCATATACATGCAAATTCTCCAAAGATTAACCCATTTTCTTAGGTCCACTTGAGTTGCATTATTTGGAGTTAAGCCAACATAAATTTATATGACTCCCAGATGTGCTGGAAATCACTCAGATTATCTTATCAAATTTATAAATGGGTGATGCTAATTTACAGTCTCAATGAATTTGTGTCATACTTTGAACTAGACTGACTCTCCAAATGTGCAAGCAGAGTTATCAGCAGAGTACTCTGGAAGATGCTGGAAAAGCTGCAAACTTTCTATGCTTAAACTCTTTTCATTAAGGATGCTGGTTGTTCATCAAGATCTATATCATAAATGACTACTCTTTGTTGTTGTGGAATAGTCTCAAGAAGACACGTTGTACTTCCTTGAAGATACAGGTGATTACGTGGGAATCATGATTGTTCTTTGTTAGTCACAAGAGTTGGGGTGAATGTGTGTTTCTGATTATGTAAGAATAAGCCAACAAATCCAGTTTCATTTCAAATGTATATATTCCAAATGGCAGTAGATATTAACACACATCCAGCCATGGGTAATGATGGGTTCTTAAACTCAGCATATGTGAAGGATGAAAAAGTCATGAGTCATTGGTGTATATTTAAATGCAGATTTCACAAATTCCTAAACAACTGAAAGGTTGCCATATAAGAATGTTATCACTAAATTCTTTAGTGACTCTATACAAGGTAGTGTATTTGCCACTGTAATTGACTCAACTTTACCTCTGGAATTTGTTTGACTCATTCCAAGGTGTGGTACTGAAAAGTTTCATCTGCCTTTTGAATTGGAGAGAACATGAATGTAGACAAATGTAGCACTAGAGATATAAAGCTGTGTTTTCACAACATTCTGATAGCACACAGAATCATGGTTTAGTGAATTGCTCTAATTGTCTGTCTTTTATAAGATGAACTATAAACTTAACCACTTTGACTGGATCTTCACACTAGTCACAAACTATTTGCTCACATAGCCTTGCCTTAACTCCACCACACAAACTCAGGAGGTGTTGATGGCTCTCTCCAACAGTGAGGGAAGGCACAGCAAAGGGGCAAGCTGCTTGAGGCAGGGAGAAAGGCAGGCAGGCAGATAGCAGAAAAGACGAAGTGCAGCAACAGTTTGGCCTGGGGAAGGCAAGGCAGGTCAAGCCTGGAATGGTGAGAGCAAGTGACCTGCTGCATGAAGATTTACCTAAAGAAATTGTGACCCAAGGCAAGGTATTCCGCAGGGTTGATATTCCTGATCCAAGAAAAGAAGAAGAAAACTGCTTGCTGAGCAGCCAAGGCAGAAATAGCCATGGGGATACAAGCCTAATGGCTGAATGGAGGGCAACAGGGCAATTGGACCTGCTGGTTGCCCATTTGGACTGTTCCTTTCGAAGGGCTTGCTATTGTTTGGGAAAATGAAATACCACTTTCCTGGCAGGCGGAGTTGCTCTGACATCTGCCTTCTGCAGCAGCAGGCTGGCATCAAGATGGAGCTTCTGCTACCGGACTAGCAGGCAAGAAGGCCGTGAGGATGACCACTTGCAGAGGGATGAGCACTTGGAGAAGCCGACTGCTTGCACTTAAGCGTTGGTTTTTAAATTCAGCTTCCTTAGGATTTTGCATTGGATATATTTTAAGACAAGTAGCCATTTTTCTACTCTTGTTTCCTCTCTCTCTTTCAGATGCATGTAACAGGTACCAGTTCGCCGGCTTCTTGGGGAAATGAATTAACGAAAAGTACTTCGCATTTTCACAGCGCCATATCTGCCCGCCAGCTGCTTCTTCCGACTCTACTGGGACCAAAACTGTGAAGAAAACACCACAGTTCCCAGAAGCCTCTGGCCGCAACCATCTCCGCCTCCTCTTTCCTGGGCTCTGCCAAAGCTCGCGCAATCGCAAGAAAAGCCTCGTGTTGATCCCTCCAGCCTGTAGGTGGTGGTGGCGGCAGAGCACGGGGCCTATAGGCTCTCACGGCTTCCTTTTCTGCGGGTGGTTTTCGGAGGAGGAGGAGGAGACTCCTTGGCAAGAAATAGGAAAAGAAAGCCGGCCTTTCCCTTCCTCTTGCTTGCTTAGGACCACCGAGCGGGGCGGGAGGGGGGCGCGCCGAGGGGAAGGAAGGCAGGAACCAGGCGATCGCAGCTTCTTTAGGACGCCATGTCGGACGGCGAGAAGCTCAATTTGGATTCCATCATCGGGCGCCTGCTGGAAGGTAAGCGGCTGGGGCTGGGCCGGGCTTTGTGTGGCTGAGAGCGATTGGAGTGCCCGGGTGGCACAGAGTCCAGGGGAAGGGCGAGCGGCGGACCTTACCCGCTTCCCGATCTGCCGCTTCCCCTCCCGGCGCTGGAATGTCCCACGCTGCCGCCCCCGCACCAGCGCCTCTTCGCCAGGCGGCGGGACGCTCTCGACCGGCGCAAGGGAGTTCCCAGGATTTCCAGCAGCGGTTTTACTTCCCCGATCTGGGCCGGAGGAGAAAGGAACCGGATCGAGCTCTGTATTGCGGGATTTCAGCGCCTCGGCGTTTTCTCCCACGCGTTAAGAGGGATGAAATGGCTCAGAAGCGCCCTTTTGGTTTCCCTGCCCTGCTCGCAGATCGGGATGTCTCTGTTTAAGCGGGCGAAGCGGCATTTATAATCCCCTTCCGCCCCGTTTGCAATCGGGGAACCGAGGTCGGTTCAGGGCTAAAATCTCCCGGGTGAGCTGCCCCCGCTCCGCCTGCGTAGATTTTTCCACCGCGGCTCTCCTTTTGTAGCCACCCAACGCGTCACTTTTGCCCAGACTCGTTCCTGATCGTTCCCGATGGCTAAAAGAAAAGAGCCGGATGCCGGCGTCGGAAAGAGACATTGCGCAGGATGGAGGGAAAGCTTAGCGGAGGGTCGGGGCGGATGTGAGCCCTGCGCCTCGAGAAAGGGTGTGCCGGTGGCCGTGGGATTCTGCCAGCGCCGTCTGAGTGTTCTTGCAGATACGATCCTGAACATAACAGCGATCGAGCCGTACCGATGTCCGGGGGCTCATCGTCTCCGTATGGAGGTGATGAGCCCCTGACTCAAGCGGGGAGCAGAGTTGCCTAACGCTAACGGTGGAAACGAAGAACGGAGAAGCCGAATTGCCAGGCGACTCCTGCCGTTGCTTCTCTTGGGGGCAAATGGAAGGCGGGGTGAGGCGCAGGTGCCGGCCTATCCCTGGGGAAAGATCTTTTGGCTCTCGGGCGAGGATGGGAGAGGCTGAGGCTTGCAGAGGCCCTGACTGAACAGGCTGTTCCGGCCTCGACAGCAGGACCAGAAGTTGAAACTCTTTTAAGGAGGCTTTCTTCAAAAGCTGACCCATCCAAGCAGGAAAAGGTAGTTATCCTAATTCTTGGGATCTCCACACCCAACAAGAAAGGAGGATACATAGGTCTTGATTTAGAAGACCCTTTGCTATTTCAAAAGTAATTACAGATCATCACAGCCCCCAATCGAAGTGTTCACTTTGGTGTCTGTCTCATATATGGTAATTCCGGAGGTATGGAGTCTGGTGTTCTGCTAACCAACTCTGTGGGAGTTGGCTTTCCCAGATTATCCAATTGTGCCCTAGTTCTGATAATCTTGGGATTTAATCTTGTTGAATTTAATTTGTGAGGTGGGTTAAATCTGTTCCTGTTGCAAGGGTGGGTGGAGTTTGAGAGAGATTGGCAGCAGAATAAGTCAGAATTTTGCCCAAGCCTGTGGATTATATAGATTTAGGTTGATGAAATGTCTTAATTTTGCTTTTGATTCAGAGCAGTTTATTTGCAAGACAGCACCAGAAAGAAGAAACCCGTGATCCCAAACTCTGGCTCTGCTATAACTAGAAATTTGGAACACCCCCATCACATTGCAATTGTTGTGTTAGGGAGTGTCAGTTTATGATAGATGATAGAGGACTGTTTGTGGGACAGTGCTGTCATCCCAAAACGTTAGGTTTTTACCTGCACTGTTAACTGATCCACTTGCTGCAGAGCCTGGTTTTCATTAAAAACAAAATAGTCCCAAAGCAGAATAATTGTTACACTGGAGCAAATAAGGCACAGTTATGAAGCTACTTTAAGACTTTGCTTACTGCATGGCAGTACCCCAGTGTGTGTCTCCTGAGCCAATAATGGCTTGGTAATCTGTGAGAAGCTAAGGTAATGCATGGTGCGTCAGGCACAGATTTGGCTAACGGATTCTGCCTTTTCAGTCGCAGAAAGAAATAATGCTTTTCATGTGGGAACAAGATATGATTTGGTTATTAAACACCAGAATATCCTAGAAACAAGAAGAGCAATGTGCCTGGAATATCTCTGGGAAGGTGAACCAGCATGAAGATGGCTGCTCGGGAATGAGATTATCAGGTTTTTTTGGGTTTTTTCCCTCTCAGTGCAAGGATCACGTCCAGGCAAGAATGTTCAGCTCTCAGAACATGAGATTCGGGGCCTATGTCTGAAATCACGAGAGATCTTCCTGAGCCAGCCCATCTTGCTGGAACTAGAAGCCCCACTCAAAATTTGTGGTAAGTGGGATGCCATTAGTTCCCGCCCCCCTTTCTCTTTTGCTAGACCTCTCTCAAAATGGTTGCCTCCGTAGGCATGGTCAGCCATAAAACACATACTGAACAGAAGATTCTTTACTGGCACTTCCAAAATGAGCTGAAGCTTGCCTTTTTATCTGGTCAGATTGCTCCTCTATCTTTTAGACAAAGCATCACATTGTTATTTTAATTTTCCAAGCGTGTCCATGTAAACAAGATACTAGAGGGCAATGCCTTGGGTTGCATTGTATGGTCTTCCCATTTAATCAGTTTTTTAAGTAAGGCAAGAAATCTGGTAGACATGAAAGATGTTGTCTACAGGCACATTGATGCCTATGAATGCCAGACTGCCTGGTTCTGGGATAGTCATTTCCCATCCTTGCCATTCTCACTTAGAAAGAAGACAGCAGACGTATAAATGCAATGAGTAAATTGTTGATCAGTTCTTCATCTCTCTTTTTCTTTCTTCTACCATCTCCCAGGTGATATCCATGGGCAATACTATGACTTGCTCCGGCTTTTTGAATATGGGGGTTTCCCCCCAGAGAGCAATTACCTCTTTTTGGGTGACTACGTGGACCGGGGGAAGCAGTCGTTAGAGACAATCTGTCTGCTGTTGGCCTACAAAATTAAATACCCTGAAAACTTCTTCCTTTTGCGTGGCAATCATGAGTGTGCGAGCATCAACCGTATCTATGGTTTCTATGATGAATGTGAGTACATCAAACCGATAAGCTTACAGAGTGGGAAATGAAGCCATGTATTGGTCGAGTACATGTACGTAGATGAGGGTAGCGGTTTGGGGAATGGGGTGTGGCATAGTGTGTTTATGCTGCATGAGTCCTTCTTTCTCTCCAACACCAAAGAGATCTCCAAGATACGACAAATCTTGCAGGAATGTGGCTGATCAAAACTATTCAGCATTTTTTTCCCAGCTAATTTTTGTCCCTTTCCTGTTTTCCATAGGTAAACGACGGTATAACATAAAATTATGGAAGACCTTCACTGATTGCTTCAACTGCTTACCTATTGCTGCCATCGTTGATGAGAAAATCTTCTGCTGTCATGGAGGTAGGCTATCTGTAATGTTGAGAGTGAGGAAGCTGGTCGTACTACTGATGCCACCAATGCTGCAGGCAAGAGATTGAAGTAATGCAGAATTTCTCCAGATGGTTTGCAATCTGCGTCAACAGGAAAAGAAGTCAAGTAATAGGCAGTGTCAATAGCACAGTGGGGAATTTGGTGTCCTTTGCGTATTGCGTAGGCGTGTTTCCTTTGGGAGGTGGAACGAAGCCTGGGAAAAAGTGAAAGACCATATTGGTTTCCTCTTTGATGCAGCATTTTAGATGAAAAAATTATTCAAGCTAAATTTGATCCCGTTGAGGGATAAGAATTGACTTAAAGGATTGAGCGTGGAAAGCTTGGTCAGATGTTTTTTTTTCCCAGTTAATACCCCTAACAGGAGTGTGTTGTAAAATAGTGATTCCTGGCATAGCCAGTTACACGTTACCTCTAGTGAGACCGACATGTTGAAATAATCTGCTTTATAAATGCAAATTCTGTATTCCAGGACTCTCTCCTGACCTTCAGTCTATGGAACAGATTCGGCGGATCATGAGGCCCACGGATGTGCCTGACCAGGGTCTGCTTTGTGACTTGCTCTGGTCTGATCCTGACAAGGATGTGCAGGGCTGGGGTGAAAATGACCGTGGGGTCTCCTTCACATTTGGCTCAGAAGTGGTCGCCAAATTTCTTCACAAACACGATCTTGACTTGATCTGCAGAGCGCATCAGGTCAGAGCATAAAGCAAGTTGGAAGGGGGTACACCTGGCTGGAGGGGGGAGGAAGGCATCTCTGTGAACTGGAAAGTTACATAGTTTTAAAGAGAGAAGATAGAAGTGATGGGGAATGTAGTTGCAAAAGCTGACCATGAATTAAGGAAGGGTTGAAGAATATTGTTGGCAATATTGTTAAACTGGGTTGAGTATATTTGATTGATGGATTCTCCCACCCTGTTTAGGTGGTAGAAGATGGATATGAATTTTTTGCCAAACGGCAGTTGGTGACACTCTTTTCTGCTCCAAACTACTGTGGCGAGTTTGACAATGCAGGGGCAATGATGAGCGTTGATGAGACCCTCATGTGCTCCTTCCAGGTAAGGACTTTTGAAGATGCTACTTTTACAGCTGTTATCCTTTTACGCACATGGCAAGTAATTAAAGGGTGTGCTGTTTTTGTGACAAAGTGAGAAGATTCTGGAATACAATGTTTAAACATCAGTTGTATTTTAAAGGGATTTTTGTATCCATTTCAAATTCTTCCTACTGGGGCAAGATTGTATCTCTGGTTTATAGTAAAAACTGGGATACTCGGGAAACCAACTTTCCCAGTTGCAATAATTTTGTATTTATGTTATGTCCTCTGCATTGGGTCAATTTTCTGGCTTTATGTTCCAAATTAGTTTTTGCTTCACTTTTTATCTCACCTGCAGTGCCACATCCGTGTGGCCACTGCATAGATGGAAATTCAAAGGCTACAGAAATAAGAGTGATTGTTGGATGGATTTTTGGGGGGGAACTGATCAAAGGCAAATTCATGAGGTTTTAGAATTGTAGCAAAAAAAATACTTTGTTAGGTTGAATATGCATGTGTGCATATTATTAATTTTAAAAGATAGAGAAATGTGATAAACCTCAGAACTTCTTTGCCAAAAACAATTCCCATATTTAAAAGAAATTGGGACATTATTCCTTTTTTATTTCTGTTTTGCATTTATTTTGGTCCTCTTTTTTATATGGTACATGAAGCAGATTAGGTGTCTTATGAGTATACAAATTTAGTCCCATAGTTTTCAAAAATGAGGAAAATAATTGAATGTAGTGGGACTTCCTGCTATACTACCCATTTACATAATTTCAGAAGCAGAATGTTCCATGCCAAATGGGACTTTGTAGTTAAAAGCCATGAAAAGAGAGAAAGAAGTGGGGTGAGAAGGAACAATTCCATGTCCTTAAGCTTGTTTTATTCTAAGGCACTAAATTAGAGAACTTTTGGCTGTTTTATTTTTGCCAGTTATAAAGAACTGTGTCTGGAATTGCATTTTCATCGTAGGAATTTTAATACATGGCTCAAATTTCAGGAGGTTTGGTGTTTAGTTTTTTCACCCTGAAACATTTGCAATAATTAGATCAAGTCAGTAGGAATTTTTCTATCAGGGATCAAGGACAGAAAAAAAGCTGTTAATTTCCACACACACACACTCCCCCAACCTCTCATCTTAACCTTTTCTTGCTTTGCAGATCTTGAAACCGGCAGACAAGAACAAGGGCAAATATGGTCAGTTCAGTGGCTTGAATCCTGGTGGACGCCCAGTTACTCCACCACGCAACTCGGCCAAAGCCAAGAAGTAACGTGTCCTGCCTGCCCTCCGTCTCAGCAGACAAGGGGCCTGGGCTGTCTTGCATAGCAGTTACACTGTATAGCAGCTGTACATACCTGGGATGCTAAGGTCCAGCCATTTTTTTAAAGAAAAAAAATGTCTGAATGAGATTGAATACAAATAAAAAAAGATCTCATTCTCTAGGAAGGGAATGTCATTATTTTTGGGGGTATTTTTGATTGACTTTTTTGCCAACTGTGTCCAGATGTGTGCACCCCTTTCTCCCCTGGGGGTACCATATCTTTTTTTTGAATAAACATGTAATATTCTTAATGTAGTTGCTTCTCTTTATAGTTTTGGGAAAATAAAATGAAATGGGTTGGGAGAAAAAATGCTTCTTGTTTTCAGACAAAATACTCTCCCAACCCTCCTTTTCCTTTTAAAGCTGGGAAAAAACAGAGTCTCAGCAGGATAGTAGTGCCTGTCCTGTACAACTAGATGTATATTCTGAATAGGCTAATTTGGGGAAATGTTTAGACAACTGAACAAATTGTGCCAGTGAAGTCAGAATCTAGCAGTAGCAGCAGCAGCAGCTCTAGTCCTGGAGCTCGATCTCTTATGGGAGAAGTAAAACAAAAAACAGACTTCCTGTTAGAAGGGCAGTGAATCCAATCAAATTCAAGTTATCTAACATTTGATTTGCTGAGGCCTCCTCTTGGGAAGTATCTGATAAACTCTGGACTGGCCTCCCTAGAGGCAATCGTTCCATTGGAACTATTGTTTCTATTATCTCACTGCCTAAAAGAAAATCCTAGAGGGGTTTTCCCCCCTGTAATACACCTGCTCCTTAGAATCACTGTACAAGACCTTTAATTAAGAGCAGTTTTAGCTTTTAACTTCAAAGCTGGATTGAAGACCTAGAGAAAGCAGCAAGAAGTAACAAGGGATCAGGCCCAGTCCTTTGCCACCTTCTGTATTTACTGACTAATAGCAGCTTACAGATCGCCTAGTTTTTTTTCCCTTCCTTATTTCACTTTCCATTCCCAGATACCTTCCAACTAATGAGAACTTTTTTGGCAATAAAACTTGTTAATTACAGGGAATAAGAGGAAAATTGGCTCCAAATAGTGGAAGGGTTTATAAGGAAACTTACAAGGTTGGTCTATATTACAGCAGCAATATGCCTTGGCATCAAAACACAGAGAAATATATATATATATATAAAATGAATGTATTAGAGCTTTACATTAGTTGCAAACCCGAAGAAAGAAACATCTCCTACATTTCTGCTTTTCAAAATAATAATCATAATTCTCCACTGGAAATACTAGTTCCATGACACACTGTTCATTTAATTAAAAAATGGCAACTAAGAGCTGTATCTAGTCAGAAAGTATTTTGCTGGAGGAGGTTGGATTAGAATCCTAACCCGACAAAGACTCCTTGGGATTTAGAGGTGTGTTGCACGCACAGGAATCCAGATGAGCTCATGCATCTCCTTCACTGTCCTCTGCTAGTACGTCCTGGCTGGAAAAGGAGCGGGTCCTCACCTGGGACTCACTTAAAACCGATCCGAAGAATAAGGAACGAAACTGCAAAAGAAAATAACCGTTGGGGAGAAAGAAAGCTAAAAAGATGCAAGCGTTCTTGAAAGTTTCCACATCACGAATTGATTTAACGGGAACAAATTTAAAAAGCACACAAAAAACCTCCTTTATAAATGTAGAAAATATATAGATGGTATTCAGAATAAAGCTTACTATATACCTAGAAGTTGACTGCCTCCTTTCCCTGTTCCTCCCACCTGCTCCAAAGCTGCTCCCAAATGTACTTTATCACCACACCTCTCTTCCGCATCACCCTTTTCAAGTGACTTTAAAAAAACAACAACCTGATTTTGCAATAGAATGATTAACAAAGCCTGGCTGCTGCCATTAAAAGTCAGTAAATAATGGCTCAGCTCCAACTGAAGTTAGTCATAAACCCAGGACAAACGGTGAGGGAGGGATATGATTGTAAGTATTTAAGTTGGTACACATACCACATTAAAGTACAAGTCAACTTTCCCACATATTATTGAATGACTCAATAAGTCGTTCCATGCATTCATAAAGCTGGACCATGTTTTACAAACCACAATGGCTGGATGTAGAGAATATGTAAGTGCCAGGGAGTTATGGTAGACGGTGCCTGGTGATATGGGTAACCACATGGTCACGAATGCAGAGGTCATAGGCACTTTGTCCCAGTTGATTGCAATCATTCTTGAAAGCAACAGAATAGCAGGATCTCCTTATCATACTGGGCCAAAGTGCCTATGATCTCTGCATTCATCTTTTCCCCAAGAAATTATCCTTTGAAATCTCTACCCTACTCACTTCAATGGCAGCACCCAGACACTGCCCCAATATGACTTTTAGAAGCCTCTGCTTCTGAGCTAAGTGATCTATCACACACTAGTCAGCAGAACACACCAAAGGGACAGTGTGGGTAGATGCCAATAAGTATTGAAATGGCCACACCTTCTTATACTGAAAAGCACTTACTATCTATGCGCCTCCTTCTCCCATCCTTTAATGTGATGGTCAGGAGATTCTCCAGGCCAATATCTGACACGCTGCACCTTCGTGCGCTAAGCAGTAAGATGCTTGCTCCACCTACCCTCTTTTGTGGTGGAGTGCCAAGGACGGTATCCTCATTTTCACTCTCTGATTCCCTGGTTTCAGAGCTGGGATGTCTTGTGGCGAAGGCAGAGCTAGGAGATGTTTCCGTTTCATCGCATGTGGTTTCCATGGCTATCATGTAGGTATCAATGTCATCATTGGCAAAGTCACTGGCTGGGGCAACTGGCTTGTGAGTGCTGGAAGAGGCAAATGGGGGGAAGGCTTGTTAGCTACAGAGCCCTAACTGCCTTTCTTAGAGACGGTGTCCCGTTAATCCTAGGAAAAGACTTCCTTGGGGACACCTGGTTAAGTTCTTATCCCATCAATTAAGTTCTCATACCAAACATCAAGGGATGAATAGCAGGACATACCTTATTTTCCGGGGTATAAGGCACACCTTTTTTCCTCTAAAAAGAGGCTGAAAATCTGGGTGCATCTTATACATTGAATACAACATTTTTTGCCTTCCCGAAGCTACGCCCCCTTCACCAAAATGGCCACACATACCCTTATGGGGGCTTTCAGAGACCTCCAGAGGTCTGGGGAGGGCATAAATGGGCCTCTTTTTGCCCCCCACCCCTGCCCCAGCAGCACTCTATAAGCCTCTAAAATTGTTATACATGCAATTTTTTTTTTTTTTTTACAAAAAACGGGCCCGTTTTCACAAAAAACGGGCCATTTTTTTGCTCGTTTTTGGCTCCCCCACCCCCAGGAGCTCTCTGCAAGCCCCCCCCCCGCCCAAGGCTATTTATGTCTTTTATTTGAAAAAAAACAGGCCCATTTTCACAAAAAACGGGCCGTTTGGGGGAGGTTTGCAAAGTGCCAAAACTTTTTTTCCCCCGTGGATCAAACGCTGTGCCAGCAGGAACAAAGTTAGGTGCTGCAGGTTGTCAGCGATTTCCTTCTCCAGCATATGGATAAGTACACCTGGAAAATCTACCTACCTACCTACCTACTCACTCTCCCTCCCTCCCTACATACTGTATTTCTCTCTCTCTCTCTCCCCCACTTCCTACTTACCTACCTACTGTATTTCTCCTCCCCCTCTCTCTATCCCTCTACCTACTTTCTCTCCCTACCTATCTACTGTATTTCTCTCTCTTTCTCTCTCTATCCCTCTACCTACCTATTGTATTTCTCTCTCCCTCTCCCTCTATCTACCTACCTACCTACCTACTGTATTTCTCCCTCTCTCTCGTTATCCCTCTATCTACCTACCTACATTCTCTCTCTCTCCCTACCTACCTACTATATTTCTCTATCTATCTCTATTTCTCTCTGTCTCTCTATCCCTTTATCTACCTATCTACTTTTTTTAAAATTTGGCTCTTCAAAACCTTGGTGCATCTTATACTCCGAAAAATACAGTAATTAATTTAAAGCTGAAATATTAAACAGTTCCCAAAGTAACAAAACAGTCATGGATATCCTTTAAGATGGTTCATCAAGACTGGGGAATGACAAACACCTCAGCTGAAAGGGCATCAAAACTGCCCATTTCAAAGTGACACCACTTTCTTGTATGCCAGGGAGAGATGGAGGTAGGTCCTGTTAAATGCTTCATTCTTTTCCAGCAACTTGGTTTATCTCTGTGCCAAGAAGGTTTCGTGCAAGAGGTAGAATATTTCTTACTTGGCTGGCGGATGGCTTTCAGACTCAGAAAGAGTGGCCAGGACCAGTTGTAGTTCCAGCACAGGATCCTCCACAGTAAAAATAGCTGGCCTGGGAAGATAAATATGGGAAGGGTGGCCATGCATATTTTGACTGGACGGGAATCAAAGAAAAAGCAACAAGAATGGAAACGTGTCCAAGCTGACCAAGCCAAGGTATTGATGTCCCAGGTGAAGCAGAACAGAAAATATGTTCACTGATGCTTACAAAGGCAGATACTTACATCAAACTAGGATCTCTGAGAATCCTCTGTGGAAACACTCAAAGCAATACTGAGAAACAATACGGATACCCTTCAGCGAGTGTTACCCAATACTGTACTTTACAATGGCCTGGTGCCACTGCAGGAGCCTTTATTTGATTGTTAAGCTGTTTAAGCCCTCCTACCTGCCAGGTACGTCAAAATGGATATTGAGGGAAAGATTTGAGGACTCAGCAAAACTCAGGAAACCCTAAAGATGGGGGAGGAGAGAGAAAAGCAATGAAGCAGATTGGGAAGAACAAACTCCACCCCACCCCAAAGAAGGCAGGGATGCTGGATGCAGGCTCACCCGGAATTCCTTCAGGCAAAAAGTGACTTGTATTTCTTGCTTGACGTGGAAGGTCTGGAACTCATCCTCACTCAGGCACATTTCTGTCACCATCATCCGACTTGGCTCTGTCAGACAGAGATGGATCAGAAAACATCTCTTCATAGAGCCACTTCTCTCCATTTCATACAACTTTCCATGAGAAAGCACCTAAAAGGCAGTTGCGGACTCCTGAAGAGAGTCAGGGATTTACAGCCACACTGCTAAGGTGCCCTCAGGATGGAACTTGCTAGCCACAGCATAGTTTGTTAAGGGAGTCTTAAGTAAGTAAGGAAGCCTTGTCTTGTAAGGTTTGGGGGATGAATTGGAAGCCAGGCCTGGTGGGCAGCTCACCTGTCTCTTCTTCTAGGTAACTGCGGAGAGTCACCTTCCCTTTAGGGCTGGCACCCAGAGTCACCTCAGCAAGGTTGAGTGGGAAATGAACCACAGCATCTGCTAACAGCCTGAATTGGATGGAGAAAGGCAGGAAAGAGGCTGAGTAGAAGGAGGAAAACTTTGAAGCTGAACATCCGCAATTCCCTTCTGGACTTAGTCCTTATTGTTTTAGTAATATAATTGGGAGAACAGCATTGGCTGGCAGAAAGCCTTTCCTCTCACTGCTTGTACATATTCTTACATGTAATATCTCAATTTGGGGGAGGGAAAGGGAATGTATAATCACAGTTGGCCGTATTGGTGAGAGGAGTGGCATGTACATTTAATAAATCAAAATAAATAATTCCCAAAATTTCCTCTCATCTATGTTGACATTTGTAAATTATGCCTTGCTGACACATTGCCTGCTGTACTGATAAGTGAGCCTCTGGATGGTGGAATTCCAGTGCAAACAATGCACACAGCACATGAATGTGCGTGGCTGTCAGTGCCTTTCCTACAGATGCATCTATAAGGCATAATAGCCTCCCATCCCCCTGCACTAAAATATCTCTCAGTCACATCATGATCGCACCTGGGAGAAGCACGCAGCAAATGGGCATATTGTGTTTTGTCAAAAACAGCCTGTAACAATTCACATTCCTGGAATGACAAATCATGAGTCTTGACAACCCCTGCAATGAATATATGAGGGAGGGAGGGAGGGAGGGGAGAGAGGGGGGAGGAGAGGAGGGGGAGAGAGAGAACGCAAATTTATTACACTAAGACATCCTTTCAACATTGATTTGTTGAAACACCATAGTTCACTAGATCCCATATAAAATGAAACCAAACAAACCCCATTACTTGAAGCCAATCTGATTGTCAGGGAAAATGGCCTAGGCCCTAGGGCTTATCTCTCACAGGGCCCTGAGCCTAATGCTGCTGTAGAGGTGATAAATTTTAGGGAAAAGAAGCATTTCCCCCTTTCAAGGACAAAAGGAAAAAAGCTGACATTGATGATAGGGGTGGGTGGGGAGTAAAAGCTTTTAACGAAATATGTGCTTATTAACAAGTGAAACACTTTTCCATGCATTCATTAAAGATAGCACTGTTAAGACAGTTCATGCTTCTTACAGGTTAAGTTCAATTCACAAGCCAGCCATTCCCGATTTTATGCAGATCACAAAAGTTAAAATCTCCTTTAATCTCAGCTCAATTTACTATGGTGAGTTCAGAGACACGACCACACAGGTTTCTTAACGTTAGTAGAGAAGTTAGTTTATACTGACATCTGCATTTTTTTCAATGTCTCCCATCTAGCTTATAGCCCAGGCATACTGTGATAATTTCCCATCTATGATGCTGCTTAACTTCCAAGCTTAGATTGTTACAGCTACACACACACACACACACACACACACACACACACTCATAATAACTGTATCTGTGAGCATAATACACTTAGACCCTTCTCAGATAGCGTACAAGTAATATAGATAGATACATATAGATAGATGCAGATAGCTATCACTAAATCCTAAAATTTCATATGTTCCCATTCTGAAATCTTGGTAGATTTTGAAGTAAAGGCTCAAGTGTTCCAAGTATTTTAATATTTTAGTGGCTGTATCGAATGCCGCCTG